AACAAAAAAAAAAAAAAAGAATTGCATACAAAAAATTGATATAGAATTTATTTGATCAATTAAGTTTTGTTAGTTCTTTCTTTTTCAATATTCATATTGTTTTATCGACCGCTATTTTTTAGTCGATCTGAATGAATCAATCCAATAGAGTGTTGGTAGCTATTTGATATTCAATGCCAACAACTTGTGTCAACTAAATGGAGTCCGTTGCTTTACTATTACAATCCTTCAACCAGCACGGCTGTTTTTAATGATTTTCAAGGGTTGTTTATGTGGCTTAGACGCAACAACTTGAGATGCCTTTTGAGAAGGAATGGGCTAATCATGTTGGAGCTTAAATTTCACTTTTTTTTTTTTTTNNGTACTATATATATCCTGTACATTTTTCTTTATTCATTTATATAATTATAAGACTTGATAAATGACCTTAATTTTGTGCACCCCGTGCATCGCACGGAATCTGTACTAGTATAAATGAATACTGACTTTCAAAAATGGATGAAGAAACATAAAAAAAAAATGCATTTTAAAAATTCGGGTAATTGCTTTCAATAAATAAACTTAATATTTTAACAGCCAGATGTAAATATAAATTATCGGGGTGTCCCACACTAGACGAGTTCCAGTCTATCCGTCCCTCTAGCCTCTGACCTCCATCGATTGTACCCAAAATAAAAAAATATATTAGTAACCATTCGTTTAAAGTTCACTTCAAACAAGAGTATTTTTTTTATCACTTTTGTGGCAATTAATTCTAAAAAAAAAAAGAATGAATAATCGTAAAGATATGCTAGCAACACTAATAACATTTTTCTCATATATGTGGTCCACAATTATTTACCATAAAAGCAAGCATTGAGAATCATATATACTAAATCAACACTTCATAGATTGAGATGTATCTTTACAACTTCAGAAATATATTACCCAAATAACTTCTCAACCACTTAATATTCCATCATTAGCAATTGAAATATTGAATGCATCTTATGTAAAAAGTAGAAACAATCCCTTTCATGCTCTCAACTTACCCTAACATTCATTCCATTTAGTTCCAACACTGGGTTTTCTCAATTTCCCTCACTTAAGTGCGACTTTCGATCCCATTCTCCTTATATATTAAATTCAAAACGTGCCAAGTCTAAGTGGCAAGTTCGCATGTTTTGAAATCCTACGTGTCACAATATCTTGCTTTGTATTTAGGTTCAGATAAAAATTTTAGAAAAAAGTTTCCACCATATGTCGTTGTCTTCCATTAACCTCTCTTTCATTACCGGTCTGAATTGGTTTTAGATAAGATTTCTTTCCTTAATCATTTTTTCATTTTAAATCCATGTCCTATTGGTAAGTATATGATCTAAAAATTAACCATATTATCAATATGTGCACCCTATAAATTGTATTTATGAAATAAAATTAATAATAAATCATAAAAAATAAGTTTAAATAAAAAAGATTGTAATAAAAAATATAACAAACGAATAAATTATAGTACATATTATAAGAAAATAATTTGCACTCATGTGAGTGGAATATCCAATTAATGAAAATAAAATTTCTCTCTCATTTTTTCAGTAGTTCTGCTATAGAGGCATCGGATGGCTCGACTTATGGAGTCATCCACACTTATTCATCAATAGTGTATTGACACGTGTCCTACAATAATACAATTTGGACATGTATCAACATATTAAGTGGTGGATGACTCCATAAGAAAATCATCCGATGGCTCCATAGGATTTTTGTTATACTACTATTACAAACTAATTACCAATATAAGAAACTTATAAAGAATTCCATTACAAGATTTTTTTTTCCCAAGCTATTTATTTAGATAGCAGTTCTCGATTATGGTATTTTTGCGATGACTACTATCAAGAGTCATGGACGAACATTATTTGATGTTGGTATGTATCTACCAAAACTTATTTTCAGTCATGGACAATTTTATATTGCCATAGCTAGAGTTAAGAACAGACAAGTCATGGAAATTTTATGCTGCGACGAGGATAAAAGAATTGTAAGCAGAACTAATATGTTGGGCACAAAGAAATTTATGAGAATTTGAAATAAAATAACAATGTACATTAGTTTTATTTATTTATTTTTTTTATGACATTTCTATTTATTATATACACTTATAATATCTAAACTCTTTTATTTTTTTCGTTCAAATTATTTTTTCATGTATCCATGTAGTACACGAGTGTTGTACTAGTCTATATTTATATCTATATATCTATATAT